TTAAGTGGAACCAGGTCACATAACATGGTTAAGTAAATGCAACATTTCATTTTTAGAGTGAATAGCTCATAATATATTTTCCTAACAAGGAGAGATGACTCCAAAATGGCAACATTTGAACCAGATATTGTGTGAACTATTAGCATCCAGAATGTGTTTAATGGATGAGGCTCAACTACAGTACTAGGTTTCCTCTCAACCCCTGTAAAACGGAGAGTTGTTAGTTTTTAGTTTTAGGTCAGCTGGCTATGGTGGCCATCTTGAATCAGCTTCAGTCAACTTCCTTCAGTTATAAAGGTAATTCAGATTACTTTTGTTCCATTAAAATCGTTCCCGTGGTTCATGAGTTATTTTGTTAAGAGACAGACAAATGTCACGCACACCTTTCAGTGGYGGGTGATAATGAAACAAACAGTTTCAAATACGGTTTTAAACTTTGATGAGAATGGGATTTCTTCATTTTCTCTGAGGAGCCTTTTGAAAAAGAACCAGAGAATAAAACTGGCCCTGAGAACAGGATGACGCGCGTGTAAAAAGTTGTGCGCAAAGCTGGATCAGAGCATCCATTCGGGTGTTTCCGGGTGTTTGACTCATTTTATTTTAGATTTATAATATGAATAAACTTATCAATAATCCAGAGGATCATCTCCTAACTCACCGCTCTCCTGCAGCGCTGTCTGCACCTCTCTGCTGAAAGCTCCGTGCTCCCTGAACGCACCATGCGGATAGGGGTAGTCTGCCTTGTAGGGGCCACCGGGGCCAATCCCGTTCAGACCGTAGTGGTGGTACCCGTACGGGTTCATGTGCTGAGCCGGGTACGGCTGCTGCGCTGCGTAAAAGTCCTGCGCGCCATGGAGCGCGCTGTAGAAGGCCGGGTCAGTGTTGGAGGACTCCGGCAGAGTCAGAGGGTCCTTGGAGCCCCCAGCGGCCGCGGGGAGGGTAGGCTTCTTGTCCTCGAAGGCAGGTGGCGGCTGCCCGTTCATTATTCAGGTGGTATTTGGTTATTGTGTGGATTTGGTTCTGTTTGCTCCGCGCTCCTCGCGCAGACTGGAGCCGGAGTTCCCAGACTCCCCTGACGCAGCAGCAGCCAGGCTGTCCACCGTGGCGGGCGGCGCCCAACCCAGCGAGAGCTCCTAATTACAGGGCGCGCCGAGCTGAGCCGAGCCAGGCAGGACGGAGTGGAGGACATGCCTCCTTCTCATTGGCTCTCCTGCTCGCTGCCTTTCTGCCCTGGAGCCAGCAGAGCTGACTGCCGCCTGTCTGGCTCCTTCTGCTCCCGCAGAAACCTTCACTAAGCTTCTCCTGGAGCATCCACGATTGGCAAGATTTCTCCTCTTTTTACCAGGACACGATGAGCCTGGCGGTCCTGGACAAATGCGTATCGCCCGCCAAACATTCATGCATGACTTTTAAACTATGATCATCACGTGAGAAGTTACAGCTGTTTGGGTAAAGCCATATAAACAAACAAACATTAAAAACACAAAAAAATGTTGGTCTGTGCTCTGAGTGTGCACAGTGGATAACTCTCAGTAACCTTTCAGCTTAATATTTGTCAAATTATCTGAGTTGGACATGACTAGGTTGACTCCAAAAAGGTAATCAGCTAGACATCTATCCAATGATTACTTTTATAAAAGTTTCATTAAAATCTGTTCATCGCTGAATGAGATATTTAACAGTCAGACATGAGAACATGCATTAAAAGCACACAGGCAAAATATGAATGCTTTTTGATTTTCAGAGGTGTCAATATGTTCTTTTGAGATGCAGTTAGTGCTGCTTCAGGGATGAGAATTATTTATACTTATTTTTTTCTGTTATTTACAAGTATTTGCAGTTTACTAATATTTACAGTTGTTTACAGTTTACAATCATTCACAGTTATTTAAAAATATGTAGTTATTTAAAAGTATTCACAGCTATTTACAGTTATTTATAAGTATTTGCAGTTGTTTACAAGTATTTGTAGTTATTTACAGCTGTTTACAATATTAACCCTCTATGGTACGATGTTGCCATTTGGCAACAAACCTTTTGAGTACCTTCCACACACACACAGTTCAAGTTCAAGTTTATTTATATAGCGCCAAGTCACAACATACATTGTCTCAGGGCACTGTACATGAAAAGAACAATCTAAAGAAGAAAGCAGTAGACCGCATTGAATCACTTCATCACAGTCTCCCATCCTGAGCAAACAGTGGAGAGGAAAAACTCCCTGCTAATCAGGAAGAAACCTCCAGCAGAACCAGGCTCAGGACAGGCGGCCATCTGCCTTGACCGGCTGGTTGAGGAACAGTGCTTCCGATTTCAAAACGTAGTGCAAAAAAAGAGAGATGGGATCCTAACAGAACCAATAGCAGTGTTTAAATTTGTCCCATGACTTTCTAGAGGACATTTTGAAGTATTTTTCTACAGACCTCTTTGCAGGAAGGAGCCTCACCCTTTGACTCCTCAAAAATATTGAAGTATTCAAATATTTTAATGTATGCTGATGATACTGTTCTTTTTTGGTCTGATTTCAATATTGAATCTATTAATAGTCAGTTACAAGCAGRYHTTCAGACATTTCATGGTTGGCTTCAAGATAATCTTTTGTCCATTAATGTTAAAAA